TAGTAGACCTAAGCAGTTAGGATGTGCATGTTCTTGTGAGTTTTTTTTCATATTCCTTCTTCCACCCTTCTATTTTTCCAACTCCCATGTACTTCTCCATATCTCCTATATTACTAGTGCTACTGATAACCACATTCACCAACACACAATATTCACAATGTCCCCCAACCTAGCTCCTCTAATACTTCTCCATTAAAGCAGCAGTAAGGGGGTCAGTTAGGAAATGGGCCAATTCTGCTATCGTTTGGCCCTGTATAATTCTTTCCCCCCGCCCCCAGGGAAATAAACAACTCTCTGGGGAAAGGCAAAGAGATGAAATAAGATCCATTTCCTAAGAGCCATTTCCAGGATATAGGCAATGGGTTCTGATAATTCATAGATGCTTCTTATTTTTAATCTCAGTCTTTGGGCAGTTCATGAAATCCCTGAGATCCACATTCCCAAATTAGAATCAAGTAGTGAGAAAAGAATGAACCAAAATGTACAAAACATAAAATGAATATGGTTGTATACACTGGACAAAAATTAGTGACTTGACACTCACTTCTGGCCAAGCAGAAGTAAAAAGGACCAGACTTGTCTTTCAATATTAAACAAAAATCCAAATAAAATGTATGAAACAAGACAGTGGACATCAGGAAATGAAGGACATAGGTGCCCAAGAGACAGAAACAAATAGGGTGAGCTCTATGCTGGCCCTAGATTACTGCCTTGAGAGTTGCAGTTGCAGTTCAGAGAAGGAAAACCCAAACAGAGAGCAGCCAACCGAGTTAAGGAGAGGGATCTGAGTGTTCACAGAGGAGGCCAAGGCAGCTAGAGTTCATAAGATACACTCTCAGAGAGGGGAGAGTTTCACAGAGTGAGAATGTTAGAGACCTGCAGAGGGTCTCCTCACCCCTCCCCTAAATCTGAGTTCTGAAAGTTTTGATATGGAGGTGGTTGTGTGTGTGTGTGTGTGTGTGTGTGTGTGTGTGCATGTGTGCGTGTGTGTTATTATTCAGTTGTGGAAGTGTTTTAATTTCAATTATGATTTCTTCTGTGGCACATGGGTCACTTCTTCATTTCATTAAGTCACTTATTTTCCAAACTTATATTTTTTTAGTTGATTAGTCCATTGTGGTAGTAAATTTATTGAGTTTTTTCTTCTTATTCCATTTTTGGAGATGTTGTTCTGTTGTTTTACACTCTACCTCTATTTTTTTTGTGGTGACCCTAGAAAATTTAACATTTATATTTAACTTGGTAAAGCCTAAATTTAGACAGTACCTCTATTATCTTCTAGAGCAATACAAGGACCTTAGGACACCAATTCCTGTAACTTCTCTTTTCATTTATATGCTATTCTAGCCAATTATCTTCTTTCTTTTCAAATTATAGATATTATTTTATTTAGTTCATGTTTGTTTAAAATATTTACCATCTTCTTTGCTCTTAATTTCTAGTGAGCTGCCAGACTGAGGTGATCAATTAGGACAAGGAACCAAAATGAAATTAACAATCATGCTTTTATTACTTATGCAGATAACATATGCAAGATGTAAGAATAGGCACCAGTTCCCCAATATTCCATTTTCCTCGCACCAGGCAAGGGTCAGGTGAATCAGCACAGATGGAGGGGAATCTTCCTGCCAAAGAGTTCTGAACAAAAGACTCCTGCCATTTTATGGATTGGGATGGGGCTAGGGAGAAGGGAGGGGAAATGGCTAGAAGTGAAAAGAACCAAGTCAGAGTAGACAAAAGTGTCTTAGTCAAGATCCCCAATAGGGAGGCCTCTGAATGGAGTTATTGGGCTTGAAATGCAGATTATGTATGAATCTGGCTGGCCAGTAGGTCCTAAGTGCTTGACTGCAACTCTCTTCAGAAAAATATAACGTACCAGTTGTGTACTAAGTCTTGTGTGAGGATAGCTTTCCTCCATGAGGCCTGCTGGGCTGGTCTGCCCTGCCCCCTTGTAATTGCCTATAGATGAGTCTAAATGATCACACATAGATTTTTGGTGTGGAGCCAGACTTTTCACTTCTTGTCTATTGGTCTTCACTCTAGGGCCATTTAATTTTTCCAGGAGTAGACATTTTCATATTTCCTTTATCAAAGGTCTGTTGCTGGTAAACTCTCTCAATTTCTGTTTACCTGAAAACATCCTTATTTTGTTCTCGTTCTTGTATGCTATTTTTGCTGAGCATAGAATTTTTAGGTTGGTAATTGTCTCCTAGCATGTTGAAGGTATCTTTCCAGTGTCTTCTGGCTTGCATTGTTGCTGTTATTAAGAAGTTAGCTATTATTGATTTTTGCTCCTTTTAAAATAATCCCTTCTCTCTTGTTTCAAAGATCTTTTCTGTGGTCTGTAGTTTCTCTATAACATGTCCTAGTGTAGATTTCTTTGCATTTATTCTGTTTGGGATTCACTGGGCTTCTTGACTGTGTTAACTGATATATTTCATTATTTCTGGAAGTTTTTCATTTATTATTTATTCTTATTCTTGTAGTCTTATTTCTTTTATTATTGTTTGTCTTATTTTCTCTTTTATGCAACCCTGATTAAATATGTGTTAGATGATAACTCTATCCTTCATATTTCTTAACCTCTCGTTCATATTTTCTGTGTTTTTTCTTTCTGTGCTAAATTCTCATTAATTTTTTCACTATTCTTTCAGTTCATGAATTCTCCTATCTGCAATTAAACTGGTCCCCTAAGTTTAAATTTTTACTTATAATTGTTTACATTTCTTTAAGTTCTATTTTTTTTTCTTTTTTACAATATGCCTGGTCACTTGTACTCTCATATTCAATTTTCAATCTCTTCTTTTGCTTCTTTAAACACAATAGATATAGTTTAGAAAATTCTCAGTCTAATAATTCCAATATCAGAAGACATTGTGGTTCAATTATGTTTTGTATTCTTAGTTTGTTCTTGCTCAGAATGCTACAGTTCTGTATTTGCTTTTGTTTTTTAAATTTTTTTGCATTTGACTGTGGGTTAATATTTATTGTAACATTATCGATGGGAATTTCTTTGGGCCTTCTACTCAGCACTTATTCAATAATGGTAATTTTCCTTGCAGTATTGAAATTTATTTTTAGTTCACCATTGTATTGAGGTATAATCCTTTGAGATCTCAGTTTTATTGGGGGTTCTCTAGTATCCCTAATATGTCTTTGAGATTTGTCTACAGTTCCCTGAGCCCTGAAAAGCAGTGAAATGGAATTGAAGTTTACCACCTTCTGCAAATTTTCTCATAGAGAAAGCTGATTTAATGTGCTATGTATCTCTTTTGGTTCATGCCTTCACTTAGTTTTTTGTTTAATATTTTTTTAACTTTTAACCAGTATTTATATATTTAAGTGTTTCTCAGATGGTATCCAGAATTTTTAGTGTAAGGGTCAAAGTATCACTTTGCTGCCTTGCCAGAAATGAAAGACCTACTCTATCCATCAATCTTTTTAATTATTACCATTAATAAAACTGTTACTTTGTCTTTTCCTTCTGGAAATTCAATTACATGTATGTTAGACCATTTGCTATCCAATTACATGTATATTAAATCACATATGTATTAGATTACAACTCTTGGAAGATCATTTCGGTGTTTGTTTGTTTTCCTTCACTATTTCTTTCCTTAGTATTTCAGTTTGGGTACTTTTTATTGGTCTAATTTCAAGTTCATTCTTTCCTCAGCCTTGTTCAGTCTGCTGAGGTACCCAATAAGGAAATTCTTCATCTCTGATATTATATTTTTTATTTTAGCATTGGCATTTGACTCTGTTTTATAGTTTTCATCTCTCTGTTAAAATTCTCCTTCTGTTCATGTATGTAGTCCTAGATCTTTAATGTATCCACCAAAGTTATGTCAGATCCCTCTCTGATAGTTCCAGCATCTAGGCTATCTTTTAGTCTGGCTCTCTCATTTGCTTTAACTCTTGACAATGCGTTTACTTTTTCTTGTAGTTTTTAAAATTATTAAAAAAATTTTTTAAATAATTTTTAAAGTTTATTTATTTTGTGAGAGAGAGAGAGTGACAGAGCGAGCAAGGGATGGGCAGAGAGAGAGAATCTCGAGCAGTCCCTGTACTGCTAGCACGGAGCCCAGTGTGGAGCTCAAACCCATGAACCGTGAGATCACAACCTGAGCTGAAACCAAGAGTTGGTTGCTTAACCAACTGAGCATCCAGGAGCTCCATTAAATTATTTTTTAAAATTGAATACTGGACATTGTGTGTAGAAGAACAGTAGATATTGTTCCCAGAGTGGATGAGGATCAATGTTTTTTCTCTGTTAGAGCCTATGAGTATTATTTGGCCTTGCTGAGTCTCAACCTTGTCAACAGCAAAATGGGAATATGCCCCAACTTCATAGAAATCTTTTGTGAAATATATAAAACATCAACAGTATATTTATATTATTGTTTACCTGGTGATAGACCTTATTTTGTATCTTGAGTAAGGCAACTAGATTATACATACTTAGTTTTTATCTCCAAATGGTGACATTTTTTTCTTTTAATTAAAAAATCATATTTCATTAAAAAATTCTAATGACATAAAAATGTAGAAATTAGAAAGCCAAATGTCTCCATACATTCAATGAAGACCATATTACAATTGTGTATTCCTCTACTCCTTCGATAAATAGCATAAAAAACTGGTGTCCTTGTATTTGACTTAATGTTCATCAATACACACATGAAAACCAGAGATCTTCCAAATATTTATCCAGTATTTACTTTCAAAGTAGAAACAATATTTTTTACAGGTGGTATAATGAAATGTCCCCACTGTGATCTCTACCATATGCGGATTCTATGTTGGGTGGGGGTCATTTATTCCTCTAGAAACACAATTTGGAAAGTATCAAGAGAGACGGTAATAGAAAGTATGAAAAAGTACTGTGCTTGAAAATGGACTAGGTCAGATGAAACTGTTAGTTGAAGAAGGACTTCCTGGAGCTGCAGACTCAGGATTCCTGGCCAGAAAGGACAAGCATGCTTTCTTTCTTGCTCTTGCTAAGACCTGGGCAGCATTTCCTCCATGTCTGCAATGACGTAAGAGACAACAGCCCAAACAGCGGCAGCAACATTCATCTGCTTTGGATCCATGATAGTCATGGTGTCTCCACGGGAGTGATGGAAGGAGAAATATTTATATAGGTCATCAAGTAGACTGGCTCCTGGGGAGAAAAGAGGAAGAATTCTTAGTGAAATATTTTGACAGAGATTTCTGATTAGCTGTTCAGAAACCATTGCTACTCACTCTTCCTGCTCCTACGATGCAGGCCACAGTGGCAAAATCATTACTTTCCCAGCTTCTCTTGCAGTAAGAAATGGCCATGTGGCACCATTCTTACTACTAGGATATGAGTGGCAGGCTATGGAGAGTTCTAGGAAAGCCTTTACTTTGGTGACAAGAGTCAGGAAAATGCCCTAGTGCTGCATTAAAGAAGATGAGAAGTTTGGAGCTGAATGGGGCAAAAAGCCCACACACTAAAAATGTCAGAGTTGAAAGAGAAAAGGAGCTAGGAGTTAGAAAATACTGGTAGCCCATTGAACATTGCCTACTTCTGGACTATCTGCTACATCAAATAAATAAATAAATAAATAAATAAATAAATAAATAAATAAATAAACCTTCACTTGTTTAAGTGACTGATACAAATGTCCTATTTATTTATGAAAAGATATCTTCTTCTGTATCTTCAAGCGTGAAAATTATGTACCTTCCTAGATGCAAAGAAAGCCCACACTTTTTTGCTCAAGTTTTTCTTCTCCAATGATCCATATACTTCCAATGAGATTTCCCAGCAACCTCCAAGGGCACCAGCAGGTGTCTCTACCCAGTTAAGAGCTTTCTTCTCTCTCTAGAGAGGCTTTTGTCTAGCTTCAGCCATGAACCACAGCTTTGGTGAGGCTTCACTGTCCCTTTGTCATCCTTCAGAAGATCTTGGACCCAGTTTGTAGATTCCAACTGCAGTTTTTTAGCCTCTGGTCTTACGTATGTATGTATGTATGTATGTATGTATGTATGTATGTATGTTTGTATGTATGTACTTATTGTTAACTATACATACATAAGATTTCAAAGAACAGAAATGCATATCATGATGGATGACAATATAAGAAGTAGGAATATGTTCACAATCCAATGCAAGAAAGACATTACAAGTACCTTTGAAGCCCATTTTATGAGCTCCCTGCCCCTTGCAGATCCTTTTCTCCCTCCAGAGGTACCCACTTTCCTGTTCTGCTTGTATGTTAATCACTCTTTGCTTTTTTAAAAAAACAGTTTTACCATATACTTATATGGCATTACAAATGAATGAATGAATGAATGAATGAATGAATGAATGAATGAATAAAGTATTTATTGTTTAACACTGTCTGCCTTTGAAACATATACACCAGATATGTTTCTGTGACTTGTTTTTTCTGCTCATTGTGTATAGCTGCAGTATTTTCATTTTTTATTGCTGTACATTCCATTTATTGCATTGCATTTATTTATCCATTTTCCTGATGATGGACATTTAGGTTGTTTCCAGTTTTCATTATTAAATGTTGCCATCAACATTCTCTAGTGTCTAAATAGAGGAATGAAATTGCTGGGCTATAGAGCAGATGTGTGTTTAATTGTATTGTGTAATTCCAAAATGTTGCCTTTTTCAGTGTGCACTGCCACTGTCAGTATATGAGTCTTCCTCTTGTTTCATATCCTCTCTAGCATTTGGTAATATTAAACTAACATTTGCTAATCTGGTGGGTATGAAATATTATCTCATTATGATTTTAACTTTATTTTTTAAAATTATTAATGAGACTAAGCAAGTTTTCATATATTTTTTTGTTATTTATGTTTTCTCTTTTGTGAAATGCTTGTTCATGCCTTTTGCCCATTATAAATTGATTTGTGTTTTCCTATTGATTTGTAGGAATTCTTGAAATATTGTAGATACTAATATTTTCTTGGTAGAAGTTTATACAAATCATTTCCCAGCTTGCGACTCTTTTCACTCTGTTTATCATGTACTTTGCTGAATAGATGCTCTTTTAATGTAATTTAATTTATTAATTTTTTCTTATGATTTTCACTTTCTGACTCTTGTTTAAGAAGTTTTCTCCTACCCTAATATCATAAAAATATTCTCTGGTGTTCTATTCTAAAAGCTGAAAAGTTTTGATTTTATTTTTGACTTCTTCATCCATTTAGAATTGGAATTCATTTTGTATATGGTAGGCTTATATTTTTATTTTTCAGATGTCCCAACAAATTTATTGACTAGTACATCCTTTTTTCCCACAGATCTGCAGTATCAATTTTCCATATATCAAATTTTCTTATACAAGTGGGTTTGTTTTGGGGCTTTCTAAATCTGTTCCAATGGTCTATTTGTGTATCCCTGTGGCAATACTACAGTGTCTTAATTACTTCTGCTTTCTATTCTTTATTATCTGGTAGAGCAAATTCTCTCACCTTCTCTTCCTTCCCCTTCAGGAATGCCTTACTATTCTCAACTGTTTGCTCTTTCAGATAACATTTAGAGTCGTTTTTAAATTGTACAAAGAATATTTTTGGATTTTGACAGATAGTGTGATAATCTACATATCAGTTTGGGGAGAGCTCAGATGTTTATATTAGGATATTGTGTTCTTATCCATGAAAATGGTGTATTGACATATTTCTATTTATTGAAGTCTTCTGTAACATCTTTAAAGTTTTGTAATACTGGTTGCATACCTTTTGTTAGTTTTCTTGTCTCCAAGACTTATATTTTTTGTTGCAAATTATAAATTATACATTTAAAAATTCTGCATTTTCTGTTTGTGGCTATCCATTTTTAGCATCAAACATATATCTGATTCATAAAAAGGCAGGTGTTCCTTCTTTTTGTACACATTGGAATAGTTTGTGTAAGATCAGAAATGATTCATTTCCTGGTTATTTTGTAGTAGAACTCCTTACAAAACTAAGTCTGGTCCTTTGTTTATGGTAAAAATTTTAACTAATGATTAAATTTCTCTCCTGGTTATTGGGCTATTCAGGTTTTGTATTTCTTCTTGAATTAACTTTGGAAATTATTTTTTATGTGTGAGTTTTGCCCAAATATTCAAAATAATCTGCATACAGCTATCAGTTATATCCTGTTTTTATCTCTGTTTATGTCTGCATGTATAGGAATGCACTTTTTTTCATTCTCCATATTAGTTATTTAATGACTTCTCTCTCTTTTGTTCATCAGTCTTGCCAGCAGTTTATCAGTTGTATTCATCTTTTGGAAAAAAAAGAGACATTTTTTTTTAATATATGAAATTTATTGTCAAATTGGTTT